TGCGCTCAGCTCGCGCCCTGGCCCGTACCCCGCGCCCGCCGCGGCTCGCGCTCAGCCGCGGCTGGACCCGCGCGCCGCGAGCGGCTTCCGCGTTGGGCGGCGTCGATGACGCAGGGGGCGGTGCGGCCGGGAGGTGGCTGCGGCGCCGCGGGCGGGGCACTGGGTGCGGGGCGCGGGGCGCGGCAGCTGGACCGTTAGACTGTGCCCTCCCGCCCCGGCTTCGCTGCAGCCGGACCGCCGCCTGTGCGCGGGCGAGCTCCGGGCGTTCGCTCCTGGCCCGCGGAGGACGCCGCGGGTTGCGAGCGGGGAACCTGGGGACCCCGGCCGGGCGTCCCCTGCTGCTCCCCGAGGAGGGAGAGGACAGGGTGGACAGAGTGAGGAGGTTGGGCAGAGGAGCCCCCAGGTGTCGATCAGCTGAAGGAGGGAGGCTCACGCGCTCACCCACGCCACGAGTCAGGAGACCCAGCCAGGTGTGAAATGCTACAGGGAGACTAGGGCTTCCCAGCACCGAGGGGAAGGACCGGGGCACGTTGCCGGGTCAGTCCCTGAAATGAACTTAATACCTTTGTGCCATTAACGGTCTGGCCTTTCAGACCCTCGATATGGACCTCCTGGAATCATTCAAGAGGGAGACTCCCACCTATTAGGCTGGGCTGTCACTGCCAACCCACTCCGTGCCCGGGGCAGCACCCTGGGACCCTCATTGAGAGCCATTGGCTTAACCAGGAGAATCATGCCCTAAAGTGCACCTTCTTCGGATCCATCACTATGGTCCTTGCCATCCCTGCCTGTTTTCCAGTGCACTGACCGTCCATGGAAATCTTCACCGTCTTCTTCCAGATACACCTAAATGTAGCCCTTATTATACTGAGAATACCTGGCCTACCTCAGGAAGCTGCCATTCCAAGTATGTCTAAAACCCTGCTGCCCCCGTATCGTCCCTGCAGTCGTCATTCTGTGCTATGTATTTACTCGGACACAGCCCTCCAGTCCTCACTGAATAGGTTCTTGGAAACTGTCACCTTAAGCAAAACACCATATAACAAAACCAAATTTGCCATAGGCTGACATAAAAAAGAGTTAAGTTCCTACAGCTTTCTTTCTGGTCACAAAAACACCACCGAATTTCGAAGTAAAGACTCAAAACACTTCTAATATTAAACATTAAAATAAATGTGAGCTATACCTCTTTTTTATTTTTATTTTTTCCCTTGAGATACGGTCTCGCTGTGTCACCCAGGCTGGGGGGTGCAGTGGTGCAATCACAGCTCACTGCAGGCTCCACTTCCCCGGACTCAGGTGATTCTGCCACCTCAGACTCCCCAGTAGTTGGGACTACAGGTGTGCACCACCAAGTCTGGATAAACTTTTTGTATTTTTGGTAGAGATGGGTTTTCACTGTGCTGCCCAGGCTGGTCTTGAACTCCTGGGCTTGAGGGATCTGCCTACCTCAGCCTAAAGTGCTGGGAATACAGGCACCAGCCACTGCACCCGGCCCACCTACATTTTTAAAAGATTGATAAAAACTAGATAATGGTTTGCCAAATTTCTGGTGAGTCAGTGAGCGATGGTTGCTGTGGTGCTGGGTTAAATCAAGGAATAAGTGTTTGCAGAGCAAAAGTTGTCAGGAGGACCTGCTGCTACCATGAGATTCAAAAACAATCACAAATACGGTAGCTGAGTGCTCTCCTATCTTGTTTATTGTCATGCATTTTTATGATTAATGTACACTTACATATTTTTATTTTACAGTCATTTGTTTCATGAATTTATTCATTTTTCCAACTCATTTATTCTAGTTCAAGGTCACAGACACTGGGAGCCTATCCCAGCAGCTCAGCTTGGGCAAAAGGTGGGAACCATCCCTGGATAGAATGCCATTCTATTGCAAGACACACCCACCCAAACACACATACCCCTATTCTCACTTAAACTGGGACCATGTAGGAAGGGGGCAGTGGTTCATGCCTGTAGTCCCAGCACTTTGGGAGGCATGAGGCAGGTGGACTGCTTGAACCCAGGAGTTGGAGACCAGCCTGAGCAATATGGTGAAATCCCATCTCTACCATAAATACAAAAATTAACCAGACATGGTGGTACGCACCTGTAGTCTCAGCTATTCAGGAGGCTGAGGTAGGTGGATTGCTTGAGTCCAGGCAGTCCACCTACAGTGGAGGTGTAGTGAGCTGGGATCATGCCACTACACTCTAGCTTGGGTGATAGATGGAGACCCCATCTCTTAAAAAAAAAAAAAAAAAAGAAAGAAAACTACTGATACCATGTAGACAAGCCTATGAACTGAACATGCATGTCTTTAAGATGTGAGAGGAAACTAGGGTACCCAAAGAAAACTCTTGCAGACACGGGGAGAACCTGTAAATACAAACAGTGGTGCTGGCCCGAAATCCATTTCTTTTCTCATCAACATTTTAACAAAACAACGTTGAACAAAATGACATTATTTGAGGACCTGCTGTATGTTGTCTGTTGTCATTATCACTCCACTCAAATATAGTAGATACCTTCTGTGCCCTTGGCAGACTGCTTGGTCCTATCAGGGAGATGAAGGATGACAAGCCATTATCCCTTGAGAATCTTGAGTCTCCTCAGGGGTTAAGGGGAGGTCATGTAGTCACCTTCATTTGCTCCTATTCTTTCTTTGACTGTTTTTTAAACACAAGTTTACCCCCAAAGTCCCCTCATAGTAATTTCCTGCTTGCTTTCATCCAAAATGATATCTGCTTCTCCAGCATCAACCATCACTACTCTTAGTGGTTTAAAAAAAAACCCAAAACCTAAATTTTTAGTGAGACAACACGGGACTGAGCTGTAGCTCTCCCACTTACTTGAGCACATCACTTACCCTCTCCCAGCCTCGGGTTCTTTATGTTAACAATAGGTATCATCAGACACAAATGTCACTTTAGGAACTATTTTGAACCTGGTAATATAATGCTGCCCTACCTACTTTATAGGATGTTTGTTAGAATCAAAACCAACAGTAGATAATGGCCATGAAAGCCCTTTGTAAACCAGACAACACAATAGAAAACGTAGCATGCTTGCAAGTAACTCATAAACTCTCCCCTGACCTCAGAGAAGTGCCTGGTTGCACATTTGTACATTATTTGTCCACAGGCATCTTTTAAAAGTGTCTAAAACCATCTGGGCATGGTGGCTGATGGCTGTAATCCCAGCACTTTTGGGACATCAAGGTGGGAGAATCACTTGAGAGAAGGAGTTCAAGAGCAGCCTTGATATAATAGTGAGATCTAATCTCTACAAAAAAAAAAAAATTTAAATGAGCTGCATGTGGTGGTATGCACCCTGTGGTTCCAGCTACTTGGGAGGCTGAGGCAGGAGGATCACTGAGGCTGCAGTGAGCTGTGACTGTACCACTGCACTCCAGCTTGGGCAACAGAGCAAGACTCTATCTCAAAAAAAAAAAAAAAAAAAATTTAAAACCAAGTTTGACATCTTTCCCCATCCCACAAGTTACTTTATTTCTTGTATTATGTTGGAAATGGCATTCATATCACTCAGTTACCCGAGCCGGAAGTTCTTTTATTTAACAAATTTTCATTGACCAGGCTTGAAGGCTTGCCATCATCATCAATTATCGCTTTTCACCACCACCCAACCTAAACTCCTTTACTGGATCCTGCCCTTGAAAACAATTAGACTCAGAAATTCTCTCTTCCCTGATGCTTTCCTGATCCTCCTAATTCAAATTAATCCTTCCACCTCAGTGCTTCCATAGCATTTATTTGTTTCATAATGGCTATATTATACTTAATTTTATATTAATAATGCAAGACAACAGGCTTGCTGCACCTGCCAAAAAACTGAATTTAGTGATGACGGAGTGCTGAATGAGCCTAGAGGAAGAAGAGATGGATACCTGTTGTCAGGAGAGGCTCCTCCTTAGGAAAGCAGCAATCTGTGGGTGGGTGCAGAGGCCAATAGCACCGTGTGAGGGACAGATAGCGGCGTAGTGTGGTATTTTTAGGTAGTTATGAGGAGACTTGCAGATAGTTATAAGGAGACTTGTCCTTTCAAAGGACAGAATTTCTGGTGATTTCACATGTTTTGATGTGATGGCATCAAACACAATGCCATTCACAAATACATCGTTAAATTATTTATTTATTTGTTTATTTAATTTAATTTTTTTGAGACAGGGTTTCACTCTGACACCCAGGTTGGAGTGCAGTGGCAAGATCACAGCTCATTGCAGCCTTGAACTCCTGGCCTCAAGCCATCTCCTACCTCATTAAATGATTTTGCCAATAACCTTTCACATTAGCTTTGTGGTCTGTGGAGGGTGTGTGTGATGCAAGAGTTCTAGAGTCACAGAAATGACCTTAGGTCATGCCTGTCATCCCAGAGCTTTGGCAGGCCAAGGCAGGAGGATTGCTTGAGCCCAGGAGTTTGAGGTTACAGTGAGCTATGATTGTGCCACTGCACTCCAGCCTGGGCAACAGAGTGAGACTGTCTAAAAATAAAAAAGAAAAAGAAAGAAGAACGAAGTGACCTCAAAACGTGTAATCCAATTCTCAAATTGCATGCATTAGATAGGCAATTGAGATCTAGAGAAATGTAATAAGTAATTTCTTGGGCAATAAGAAACTTTGAAGGCAAGGACCGTGGTGTACCTGCTTCTAGGGCCTCTCAGTGAACCCTGAATACTCCCTTTCCCATAGCACCTGTGGTAAAATTTTGGTGAATAAAGAAAACCAAATTTTTTATCTCTCATAACAAAATTACATGTAAAGTTTGCATAGCCAGAAAATGTTTTGTGCAAGGTTCCATTCAGAAATACTTTGTTAGGAAATTAGGTTGGACATAATATTTAAACTCGAGGGCTAGATACTACATGTAGATTTAGCCACCTAGCAGTTTGATCACTGTTTTCCTTTGGAGTTTGCATGCTAATGAGACAAAGTTACGTCCTGCTTGCTCTTGGTTCAGCCCACCTGGTTCAAGCTGCTTACCTTATCGAGGGTTGAAGAACCCAAACCATCCACATTTGCCAAAGGTCTGGAAGAGAGGCATAGCTGGAGAAGGAAGATCAAGGGAGTGTGCGGTTGTGTCAGTCAAGAAGAATGCCATGCCCTCCTCAACAGCCACACCCTTTTGCATTTGGCCTGATGGGATGTTACTCATCCAGACAGCAAACCCATCACAAAGGGAAGAAAGGCTCCGGCAGCCAAGTTCACTAAGAAGAAAGAAGGACATGTCAAGAGGATTTAAAAGGTTCACAATACTGACTTGGATTTATTATTTATTTATTTATTTATTTATTTATTTATTTATTTATTTATTCTTGAGATAGGGTCTCACTCTGTGCCCCAGGCTGGAGTACAGTGGCATAATCATGGCTCGTGGCAACCTCAATCTCCTGGGCTCAAGTGATCCTCTTGCCTCCGGCCTCCCTAATAGCTGGAACTACAGGTGCACACCACATGCCCAGATAATGTTTGTATTTTTTGTAGAGACAAGGTCTCGCTATGTTGCCCAGGCTGGTCTGGAACTCTTGGTCTCAAGTGATCCCTGCCCTTGGCCTCCCAAAGTGATGGGATTACAGGCGTGAACCACTGTGCACAGCCCCCAATACTGACTTGTTTATGCTTCTTACTGTTGTGGTTTGGTTTTTGCTTACATTTACTGTAATCAACCTTATTTAGTATCATAAAACTGTATGGTGTAAATATTATGTTGTCTAAGGTATACAAGACCAAAAGTAGAGGTTGAATAGGGTAGATGCTCTGATTTTTTTATATTACCCTTTTTAATAAAAAAAAATACTATCAATTGAATAATTCCAATTCCAATTCTTCCTTGAGAAAAGGAAACTGGTAGCTTTTTTGACTTAGTGCTATTTGGAAGCTTTGTGCCTTTCTTTGCTTCATGAAGAGATCAGAGCAAGATATGAGACAATTCCATTCAGTCCTCTACAATGTCACCCTGAGCTTTGCCTTGCAAAATTATTATGTTGAAAGACCATTCTGAAAGTGCATAAACGGTCAAATCTCACCAAAAGGCAATAAGTAAGCCACAAATGCAATCAATGGGCTCCAAAAATTCAACTGTGACATGTGAGTTACTTTTGGGGCGATAAGTTTTGACATGATGCAGCACAGCTTGCTGTCTGGGAGTTCCAGGGGTCTGGCTAACCTATCCAAACCCTTCCTGGACTGGCTGTGGTTTGGCGCCAGCCAGTTGGGGTTTTCCACTCCAATTTAAATATTGATGATGATTCTTCTGGCTTCTGTAGCTGGCTGGGACTTCCTGCACAGTGGCAGCCACTCCAGGAATCTACCAGTTAGTTGGCACCTATCTGGTTAGCCAGACTTGGGGAGATTGGACTGGGAGAATATGGAGTAAAAAGTGGGTAATGCACAGACTAACCATTCCCCAGACCACCCCACCTTCTCCACTCCCCAAGCAGAAGCAGCAGCATGAGAACTTGAGCTAGCCTCCCCCACTGGAAGACAGGAAGCTGTGTGAAGGACATTATATCTTGATCATATATACCTTCATATATATGAAAGGTTTCTTTATTATAGAAATGGAAATTTCAACATTGGGAGAGCACGTGGTGGAATATAATGCATCCAATAAACATGATATTTTCACAGAAAGTGTAATGACAAAATAATCATGATATTAATATAAGTGAAAAAATAGGATACACATTGTATATATGCTATGGTTTTAATATTATAAAATAAGCCAGGCACGGTTGCTCACACCTATAATCTCCGCACTTTAGGGGGCCATGGTGGAAGGATCGCTTGAGGCCAGGAGTTCAAGACCAGCCTGGGCAACATAGTGAGGCCCTATCTTTACAAAATAAAAATTAAAAATTTTGAAAAAGTAAAAAGTATGTTATAAAATGTGTGTGCATGTAAAACACTGAAAGAAAACACAGCATACTTTTGACAGTGCTATATCGGGGTGCAGTTAGGGTTATGGATGATTTTTTAAATATATTTCTGCATTTTCCAAATGCTGTAAGATGCATGTGTTACTTTTATAATAATGTTTTTAATGCAACTATCTTTCCTAGTTAAATAAGTAACACAATAATGTCGTTTAACATACTAACCCAATTCCAGTAAGAGACAAGCATTTTCACTTGTTCCTTGCCATTTATAATAGTCGTTGTATGATTGAGGCAATGGCAAACTAAGCCTGTAGTAAACAGACCATTTTCCTATATGTAGGTAAAAGGGAACCTACCGTGTTCACAAACAGTCCTTATGCAAATGAAAGTTTACAAATTGTTTATCTATTGGGCATCGTCTTCCCAATGCATAGAGCCTATGAGTTTTTCGGGGACCTAGAAAAAATTTGAGATGTGAAAACAAAAATTTTGATTCCAAAAGAAAACTGCAAAAGTGATAGCAATAATAACATTTGACTAAATGTTGCCAAAACATAATACTGCCAAGTTTATTAAATTTGAATTTAGTATTTAAAAAGTCATTACATATATAAACAATTTGTGAGTTAGCTTTTCTTATGTTACAAGCGTGCATAATGATTGATAAAAAGATAGTATATAGTCAATCCAAAATTAAATGTTTTCCTGGACATGGTGGCTCATGCCTGTAATCCCAGCACTTTAAGAGGCTGAGGCGGTAGGATTGCTTGAGCCTAGGAGTTAGAGACCAGCCTGGGCAACATAGGGAGACCCTGCCTCTACAAAAATATATATATATATATATAATCCAGGCATGGTGGCATGTGCCTGTGGTCCCAGCTACTCGAGAGGCTGAGGTGTGAAGATCACTTGAGCCTGGGAGATTGAGGCTGCAGTGAACTGTGATCAGTAGCACTCTAGTCTGGGTGGATTAAGATTCTGAATTTAAAAAAAAAAAAAAAAGTCATAGCTAAACATTTTTAGAGCAAAATTATAAAAATCTTTTCTAATGTATTTTACAGCAAAAATGTTTAATTAAATGTGGACTGTGAATGCACTTTCGTATGTTTGATACACTGAAGGGTTGGAGCCTCCAAAAATAATGCCCAACCCTTAGGAGAGTTTTTTAAATGGCTGGGGGGAGGAAAGATTCTATTCTTTGTTGATCAGCAAGGTCCAGACAAATTAGTGTGACCTTCAGATCTGAAGCCAACACTGAATGCTAAGACCAGAGGAATTAGAAGATTTTACACTTGATTTTAGCCAAAAGGCCAAGAAGCAATGGAATCAGAAGATTTTAGCTTGAGCCTTTTGTCCTGGGCAAAGTCCAGAAGCAGGAAGCAAGGAGAAAATGCAAACTAGCTTCTCTGCCTAAAGCAGTGTATAGTGGAAGATCTCAGCCATGCCTTCATTTATGCCTTTTTTCGCTCACTGCAGCCTTGAACTCCTGGGTTCAAGCGATCCTCTTGTCTCAGCCTCCCAAAGTGTTGGGGCTCCAGGGATGAGCCACCGCACCTGGCCTTATTTGTGCTTTCCACATTCCTGCAATCAAGGGGCACTCTTGATTTACGTACCTACTGCTCTTAATGGGAAGGCACCTAGAGGGAAATCTCACCTGAAGTCTGCTTTCATGGAGTTTTTAATTCTAAGATATAGTATACACTGTGCTGATGCTACACTGAAGAAAACCTAGAGAAATAATTGATGTGCATATTTCAAAAGCATCTAAAAAAATGTAACTTGAGATCAACGTAAGAAAAGGATCACAGTCTCCTTCATGCTGCTGTGTCCAGTGGTCAGGGATGAGGCAGTTCCCAGGGTCTCCACTGCCCTCGAGAACCAAATGCAAGACACAGAACAACAGTTTTGAGAGTTAGCCAGGGACTAAGGCCTTGCTTTCCCGGTAGCGCTGAGGGTATGAGTTGGTGAACCCTGTGGGGTTCCTGTTCGTCAACCCAGGAGGAAGAATTGAGGTAGGTGAGAGGAACAAGAGGTCCCAGAGAGATTCCTGGTGCTACCCAGGCTGTTTCCACTTCCTCCTCATCATTCTCAGTTCCTGAAATTTGTGGTTGTAGCCTGCAGAAGCAGCCCCAGAACAATCACTCAGGAGGTCCCCACTGCAAAGGCATTCCTAGATCCATCTGTCACCCACACCCGTGCTCCCAAACTTGGGGAGCCTATCCAGTTTTACCCCAGTTACATGGAAGTCTGCAAACCCATGGAACCCTCTCCTGTCACCTGTGCAAACATCATGAAATTCTACCCCATGAGTTTTCTTTTTTCTTTTTTTTTTTTTTTTTGAGACAGTCTCGCTCTGTCGCCCTGGTTGGAGTACAATGGTGTAATCTTGGCTTACTGCAACCTCTGCCTCCTGGATTCAAGCGATTCCCCTGCCCCAGCCTCCTGAGTTCTCATAGTCTTGGATTTGAATACCTGATATAAAGTGCTGGTTACTTTCAATTAATAATCTGATGCTCATCTTGTCACCCTCAGACATGGCCCTAGTCAGTTTCGCAAGTCTCATAAAATCTCAGAAGAGATGGAGTAGGTCTTGAGGGATTTTTAGACTCTGAAAAACACCTTTTCAAAAAAACACCCTTCCATACTTTTAGCACTAGCTAACATTTGAGTGTTGCACTAAAAGGAAGTTACAGATGAAATCCTTGTTTCATGAAATTCTAGGTCTGAATTTTAAAGATAGGGGACTCTTGATTATTCACAATATTCATGCCCCTGGTTTGTGCTTTCACCTAACTATGGGATGGCTTCTCCTTAGAGAGTTGATTTCACAACTAACTTTCAATGAAGAGTCCTGTTTTTCCTTTACTAACTCTGGGTTTTTCCGTTTTAGTGTTCAAATTCAAATTTTAAGCAGGTCATAGTACTGGTATTTACAAATTTGATAAACTGGAACTCAGGGACTAACTTGAATTCAGAGGTAAGTTTATTACCATTTTTGCTCATTCATTCATCACATATGTGTTGAGGTCCTAGAAGATTCTGAGCATAAAGATGAGTAAGACTTGTCCCTTGCCCTCGAGGGGTGCATAATTAAGTAGCGAAGATAAAGCCATAAACCAGCCATCTTTAATGCAATATGGTACCTCCTATAGCAAGACAATAGAGATAGGGCTGTAAGTGCTTAGAGGGAGGAAGAAGCATACGAGTAGCATGTGGTGCGGTGATCACACCTGTAATCTCAACACTTTGAAAGGTAGAGTTTGGAAGATCACTTATGGCCAAGAATTGGAGACCAGCCTGGACAACATCATGAGACCCCGTCTCTACAA